CAAGATTTTGAAAGATTGGATCAGTATGTGCATCGAATCACTCGTTTCTGTTAAATCTCAAGACGAATAAGGTTAGTTCTGTAAGTAGAGGCTCAAACTAAGTTGCAGTAAAAAAAGTATGGATAGACTAGAGAAAAATATAGTGTTCGTAAGGTTTTCGTCGATAAATAGAAACTGCATTTACGAATAATTCCTATGCATTTAGAAACTTTATTGGCGACATGTGAGATTTCAGATTTCCAATTTAAATTTTCATCCATGATTACTCAAAAGAAAACTGTTTCTTTTACTTGATCAATTTTTTGGCTATTACTTAAAAGTTGAATAGTTTGATTCGTACGCTTTTGGCATGGTTTAAGTACAATATTAATGAATTTGGTTTTTTTCAAGTTTAATGAAAGCCTGTTAGCTCTAAACCATATGACAACTTATTTAGCTCAGCGTTCAGTATATTAGTCAGGCAGTCTTTGTCCTTGTGAGACACAAATACGTTTGTATCATCGGCAAATAATATCAGTTGTAATGTTGTTGACGTGTTGATTATAGCCTGCGTAGCAGGTGCTAGGAAATAAACGGGCGCAAGAAAGAACGGGCGCGCGCGTTTTTTCTTGCGCCCCTTTATTTCCTAGCGCCTGCTACGCAGGCTATGTTGATTATATCATTGATGTAGAACAGAAAAAAACAAAGGCCCTAGTATTGAACCTTGGGGAATGCCACACATGATATTAGCACGAGACGAAACATAACCATTGTATTCTACAAATTGAAGTCTGTTGGAAAAATCGCTCTTAATCCATTGCAGAGCCAAGCCACGTATACCATAGTGCTCAAGTTTATCAAATAAGATGGAATGATTGACTGTATGGAAAGCTAAGAGATCTAAAAAGACACCAACCTCTAATTCACCACGATCAATAGAAGATGAAATTTTTTCATGCAAATCAATCAAGGCAAGCGTCGTAGAGTGGTTTTTCACGAAGCCGAACTGGTCATCACAGAGAATATGTAAATTAGTTAAATAATCATACAAGCGTTTATAGATGATTCTCTCTAGAAATTTTGAAAATCTTCGTAGAACCGAGACAGGCCTATAGTTGGTGAATAGTGACTGGTCATCAGCTTTAAACACTGGTACCACACGTGCTATTTTCATTTGATCTGGTACAACGCCATGAGCGATCGATAACTTCATAATGTGAGCCAGAGGTCCCGAAATGATTTGAATGGATTCCTTAATTATAGACATTGGAATATTATCGTATCCAGCCACTTTCCCGGAAGCAAAAGATTGAGCAATGGTAATAATTTCATCCTCTGTTGTTGGGCTAAAAAAGATTGATTCCATCCTCGGAGACCCAGGGGCAGTCAGTCGGATCGGGAGAAAAGGCGGGACGAAAGTTTTCAAGTACGGGCGAAAGAGCCCCTGGGTACCGACTCTCACCGAACTATTTCCAAAAATTCTAGCAGATGCCGGCTCCTGATTGGGCACAAAAAATGCTTTGTATTTTTTGGCCCAATCGGCGAACAGTTTCTCCTGAGTTCTTTTCGTGAGTTGGTACACGACGGCTATCGTCTCGATCACGGCTTGTCTGGTTCATGCACCAAAGAAATGCACGCAGACAGGAAACTTTCAGTTTGACATATTAAAATCCCCATCTGATTTCAAAATACTGTCTGCCCGAGAACTAAAGACGCTTTTCCAAAAATACAAGCTTGAGCTTACGACAGGTATTCACGCTTGAATTGGTCACGTCTTGTGTAAATATTAGGGAGTTTTCAAAAGATACCACGACGGCTCACAGCCAGGAAAACGTCGCATGGAAAAGTGAATTCACATTTTTTTCAGTCTCTATCGTGATTATTCCAACTCGCTTACTTTGTCAAATGCAAGCGAACTCTTCTGGAACTGAATTTCTAACAACCATATCCACGTAGTACTTCTCTTACTTAAAACAGTAACGAACAAATGCAGGAAGTGTTTTGTACTTTAATCCGTAAAAGTGCCCATCAGCACGTCAACTGCCGTTTCTTTACATGTTTTTTCGCACTTGCACGTGCAAAGTTTTTGTTTTGCCTTGTGAAGCTATTGCTTATTTGACTTTCTCGTCGGCGCCGCGTCTTAAACTTCCTATTATTTATGACATGATCCGTCAAAAACAGAATATTCTAGGGGCAAATTGAATTGCTTCTGCTGATAGTATCCCAAACGTTTTATCAACTCATCGGTAGTTCCTTCGTTTCTGGTTAGGAAAGTAGGAAATAAAAGTTTCCATTGCACGCACAAGCTTAGTGAACGAACCGGACAATAGCCGTCGTGTACGAACTCACGAAAAGAACTCAGGAGAAACTCTTCTCCGATTGGGCACAATAATACAAAGCATTTTTTGTGCCCAATCAGGAGCCGGAATCCGCTTGAATTTTTGGAAATAGTTCGGTGAGAGTCGGTACCCAGTGGCTCTTTTGCCCGTACTTGAAAACTTTCGTCACGCCTTTTTTCCCAACCCGACTTACTGCCCCTGGGTCCCCGAGGATGTGGCCTGCTCAGAAATCAGCATGAATTTCTATGTCGCCGAATATATTTTAACCCTAGAACCTACTTTGTGTGGCCAAAAACTTGTTACTGCCAACAACGAAGGTCGCAATATCCAATCTTTTCGCCTCAAGCCGGGGATCAGTCTTTCACCCGTGTAGCCCGAAATGAGACGAAATACGAGAAGATATTGGACGCAGCAGACTTTGCCAGACGTGAGAATTGTTCCTTCATAAGGCTTAATGATGCCTTTTGGAAAACGTTACTCAAGGCAGCCAAAAAAACTCTAAGACAACCTACTATGAGAGCCGAGTCCGGTCTAACACGCGCGCTGATTTCAAACCGTGACATACAGAGAGAATTGTGGGAAGTTTAATATGAAAAACTTTTTAGGGGCGGGGGAGATTACTAGCTGCTGAGAAACTCATCAAAATCTATGTACTGCAGCCTATTCAGTAAATATTGGGTAGAAATAAAATAGATAAAAAGTAACTATGAAAAATATACATGCTCCACTACAAGACTCTGTCAGTATATAAGAGAGATTTCTATAGCCATGTTTTTGCAAATCCAGTCAGATATATATCTAGCCGATTTTTTGAAAACCAACCTAAAGAAGTTTGCAGTCGTTTGAGCGAAAAAGTGTCAAAAGGCAGGTTTCTTAAGCTCGAGAAGCTCCAAAATCGCAGTAACGAAGAAAAAGGAAAGGAGAAAAAGAAAGAGCGAGGAGAAGGAAAGGAGGAGAAGAAAAAAGCAATGGTTACATATGTACACTCTAAAAAAAAAACTGTTCGACGCAAAAGGTCCATTTGCCGATAACGTTGTCAAAAATCCGGCTTAGTAGATATATATTCACTTGGACAGTTAGAAAGGCTTTAAACGCAATAACAGCCAAAAACAAAACTTACATTTAATTTACTTTGTCAGTTTTAAGAACCAGAATTGAGAAATGTACTGCTTGTTAACAGTATAGCTGACCCTGTCTCGTTTTATGACCCACAGAACGAAAATAATTTTTGGAATTTCCGGTTAGGTCACGTTCGTCTCGTTATGCTGTCACACTATATTTTGGGGGTCAGAGTGGTTGGGGGAGGGGTGGGTGAAAATGACGCCAAACGTTTCCTGCTTAGAGTGGTTAACTTGCTTATTTTTATTCATAATGGTGGAATTTGAAAAGTTACTATACAGCCACGACTTAAAAATGATAACTCGTTTTTCTTGTCACGAAAGTTTTCGAAAAGGTTATGTTCAAATGAGTTTATGTTTCACTCTCACACGAGATCCTATGTCACGCAATGGTCGGCGACAAAGTTTTTTGATAGCCTGAGTGTGTACAGCCGCCCGCCTCCCCTTTGAAAAAATCACCCCTTGACAGACCACATATCACTGACCATCCAGTTGGCGTGATTCGGCTCAGTTGGAAAAAACCTTGCGTCCAGTCGTCTTTAAGGTCAGAGTTCGATTTTCGATGAAGCCTTGATTTTCTCATATTCTTTTTTCAACTATCATTTCTTTTACCAGCTCACAAAATCTCGCTTTTGACCCCACTCGGATAAAGGACCGCACGTTTATTAGCCCACTCAAAGACCCCTTATCATTTCAAACCATGATAAGCCCAGGGTTTATAACTGGAACACTAATTTGGCTGTAACGTCATTGACCTTATTGTTCCCCTGCTCAAATATTATACTTGACGTTAATAAAGGCGCAAAACATTATAATACTACTTCCTATAGCCAGTGTGCCCCGCGCGCCAGTGGAGCGAAAAGGAGTTTATAAAATTTATTCAGTTTAATGTATGGTCCAAAACCTCAAGTCTTACTTAAACAGGAATCAGACTTACCAAAAACGAAACTGAATTTATTTGTAGTTTATAGCTTCCATCCTTTGTTTCTGCATTGTTTCTTAACACAGTACATGATTTATAGTCTGCATTTCAAAAAAGGAGGGAAAAAAAAACAATTTATAATTAAAGGTAATGTGGTGTATTATGTCCTTAGTCGATACCGTTAACAAGTTTTATTAAATTGACCCCAGTATTATTAGATGTAGAATTTTGCCCATGCTGTAAACTATAACTTGTCTGAACGAATTTACTAGTATATGAAGCTATGGGAACTGCCAACATCAATATTATGTGAATTTTGTCTCAGTTTCTTAGATCAGTTAAATGTTGTTTTGGCGGGGAAAAGAATTCAATCCCCCATTGCGGAGTAGTGACCTTGGACTGTGTTTAGAGTTAAAAATTATGCTTAATATTCTGATTTAACAGGACATGAAGCCACGTTGTATGACTATAAGGATATGCTGATCTAAATTGTCTGAAAGGCTCGGCAATCTGTAAAAAAATAATTAGGTGCATGGGTAAGAACCATAATAGCTGCATGTATATCTAAGAGTTTTTCGTGATGGAAATATCAGCAAATATTTGAGAATTTTTGTCTCTCTGCCTTAGACCGAGGCTGCAAACTTTAAATGATATGTCTTCATCATTCTGACCTTTTGGTTGTCGCTTAACTTGAAAAAAATATCTTTGTGGGTCACGTTCCAAATCTTTCGGTGTTATTTCTTTGGTACAGTTGTTGAGTTCACACATGTCCTGAGAAATCACGTAATTGAAGCTTTGACATCTGATTTGGTTGTTGCAGGCTTCATAACACTCCGATGGATTTGATACTTTCATCTTCTGAATGGTGAATCCTTTAAGCATCTTACCCTTGATAGAATTTTCACCAGTACACTGCTGTGATGCGGCGGCTCCAAGGAGTATAATTTGATATAGCAACAGTAAAACTACTTTAGCGGAGAGTTTTGTTCTTAGTGCCATAGTAAATTTTTAGGATCTGTGGTACCATAAAAAAAGGATGAAAAAATAGATTTAAAAAGTGTTCAGGTTGAACAATTTGCTAGGTAAATCGTACTGACCTAAGAAGCCCAACGAAAAGTTTAGAATACAACATAATTATTGAAAGTAGACTAGTAGCTCCTGTTGGCTAAATATACTTTCAACTCTGTTACAACTAACCAATAATAAAAGTGATTTCATTTTTGATGGCTTGCATGCCGTTGATTTAAAAATGGTAAGCAGGCTGAATGTTTTTCAGTTACTCATTCGAACTAATTACCTATTTGTGACTGGCTTGTAAATCTCCCAATAAATTATAATCATCTTCCCCTATTTGTTTTCCCGCAGGACATGCCTTTTTTCATAACTTAAATGTTTTTACTACTTCTCAGTTAAGAATATTGCGCTTCAGGAAATAATATTTTTCTTTCTTTATGAATTGGTACGCATGTGGATAAGATTGCTGCGCGCTCTGAGACGTTATGGAACAACCTTAAAACTTTCCGACTTAGTACAATATCAAAAGAACAAAAAATCTTTTAAAATATGCAAGAAAATATGCTTATGAACTGTAAGCGATCTTAACAAAACGGTCGGTGCGGACCTCTATAGCAATAACAAGCCTCTTTGTATTGTTTGAGAAAAAAACAACAGCTTAGAATGAGTTTTCTAAAAGGTTAGGAAGGTAGAGGATTTATCCCGTTTAAAATTCAGCCACGTTTTGTTTTATTAGCCATTGGTGGATCAGTGGCTTTGGTCGAGAGAAAAAGTAACAAAGTGACTGAAAGTCACTGTCTTAAAGTAAATGCTATTCAATCTGTTAGAGAAGACGCGGCGCTTTTCAAAATGCCCTTTCTCCAAGGTATTTTGTTGTTTTTATTATAGCTTAGCACAGAAACCAGCAAACAATCGAAAGACTCTCATTGCAGTTTTTCACGTGATTATCCTTTCTATATGTTTGAATCTTTGATGCAGCAACTAGCAAAGATTGACAGTTATGTTGTCTTCAGTTTTCCGAGTCCGAAGGCGAATCTTTCTGTTCCATTTAAAAGCTGCATGTTTCTCAAGACATTCCTTGACAATATAGTCATTGTAAGCTATTGTACAGCTGCTTTACTCATCTGGGTTTAGAGACCTGTTTTAGACGCGCTATTGTATGGCGTACATCAGCACGTCGTGTTCCGATATAGGACGTAGTTGCCCGAAAATTAAATGAAAATAGCGAATCCACACAAATTGTGTTTATTGAAAAGTCCCGCGCAGCATAGAGAAAGCAAAAACGAACAAATATCTTACCAGTAAGTTGTCTCCTGTCTTGCGTAGCACGAAAAGGGAATCTAAAATTTATTGCGAGAAGGGTATTGCATCTGGCCACCAATAATAGCCACTGGGGTTGTCCGGCAATATTGTGAAGCAGGTTTCATGAGAATGCAGATTATCAGCGGGGAATTTTCTACCTGGTTTTGTGTTCAGAGACGGTTATTAATATTTTAACAATTTTTTTAACGTTCAAGGTTAGGTACTCAAGATAGAGCCAAAAACCATCTGCTTGAAACTTGTACATTACGTTACATTAATGAACTAAAGTATTTCATTGAGCTTAACTTTGCTAGGAAAAGCTTATTTTCCAACGCAGTTAACCTGTAGTTTTAAGTTAATCTCGGGGCCCCAGTGGTGAGAGCGCTGGACTTTCCCGAGTTTTAAAGTCTCGATTTGAGTGTCTAATGTTAAGAATACTGGTTTTGTGTATCCCAGCAGTCAAAATAGGCTATTTCCGAAACACTCACTCTCTCAATAAGGGAAACCTTTCTCCAGAAAATAAGTTTCATTTGCACGAAGACTAAAAATCATTAGAGAGCTTTGTGATAACGGCAAACCACAAACGGTAGTTTCAGGTTTTGCGTTAGGCGTTTGACGTTTATCGCATCTACCCGCCGTTTAGCTAAACGTCTTTAACCTCAACCAAATTCACATAAAACTGAACATGTGGATTATGGAAAGATCCAGATGGAAGACGGTGGCTGCTACATGGCATTTTCTACGGGACTGAATTACGTTTTTCGGAATTTTTGCTATTAGAGCTCACAGAATGAAGGGCATTATAGGGACCGAAAACTTCAAAAAACAAGAAAGAGTTTACTTACTTTACGTTAAAGAGGCTGTCACATTGAATTTCCAAAGAGCAAACATTAAAGTAACAACACATGTGTTTTGTGTCCCACTTCGCAGACGATTTACCGTATCAGCTTTGTTTGACATGTGCTTTAAATGCGATGAAATGTGTTTAAGTTCGTTTTTTCTTTTGCTGTCAAAACTCCGGTCCTTTTTCTGAATTATATCTTTGAATTCGTTTTTAGTACGGCTCGATCAGCTTTAAACGGCGCTTGCCGTTTCTTTTTCTTTTTGTTCGTTTATAAATTGCATATTTTATATTTGTGTAATTATTTTCTTTTCCCTACTTACTTCTTTCTTCCTACTACTTGCCGTTAATCCATCTACTGCTCCAGGTTCTGCGAGTCACGTGTTTCTAGTTATATGGCTGAATCCACGAGCAGGCAAGATAAAGCGAATCCTAGTCGTCCTGACTACCCGAGCGGAGAAGGTGAACGTCACGCTTGGTCAATAACCAAGAGCCATTGATTTCGATTGAAAATGGCTGAAATAAGTAAGTTTAATACATTCGGAGCTGGCGCCGAGCAAGTGATGGTGTGTAATGTCCCATATATATAGGCAGACTTTTGTGTGTTGTGTGTTGCACCACAGGCAATTTAAACACTAGGTGGAATTTAAAAATAAACAAAAAAGACGTGTATTTTAAGTATATAACGGTGTTAAGAGAAAAATATAGATATAAGGTGTTAAGGTATTTAGCTTGTATCTTGTCTGACCCTTAAAAATGGTTTGATCAAAAGCTTGAATATATTAAAAGTTGGGGCGTTTTTTGATGTCGTTCGGTAATGAGTTCTATATTCTAGGACCTTGAAACAGGATCGAAAACATTTTAACATTGGTTCTACAGGTATGAGGTCGGTAAAAGTCAGAGTATCTTGTTGAATATTGATGAATCTGATTTCCAGTTTGAAAGATTTGAGTAAAAGCAATAGGTAAAGCGTCATGATGATTTACATGATGATGGTACATGAAAGAACTTACTTGGAGCGAGTAGATACTAAAAACATCAATAATTTTCAAATTTGCAGAAAGAGGTTTACTTGAAGCCTTGTAGTCAGCCTTAGAGATCGCCCGGACTGCCCTTTTCTGTAGTAGGTAAATTCGTTGCAGGTTGGTGACATAGGTAGAGGACCAAATTAAACTGCAGTAAGCAGTCCTCTAGCGAACGAGGCAAAAAAAATAAAAATTAAATTAGATCAAATGGCCGAGGAGAAAACCAGAGGTTGTATTGTCAGAAGCCGAGCTCGATGGTATGAATCAGGAGAAAAATGTAATAAATATTTTCTCAACCTTTCGAAAAGAAGTTACAATAAAAGACACATAAAAAAATGGAAATCCACGGCAGGGTTAGCCTCCCCGCAGACGTCCTTTGGGGTTCGTTTGTCACGCATTCATTTCTCCACCACGGTCCGTGGGGGAGAAATAAATGCGTGACAAACGAACCCCAAAGGACGTCTGCGGGGAGGCTACGGCAGGGTCTACAATAGAAGACTCGAAAACTATCTTCAATGAAAAGCTTGAAGAATTACTACCAACAATTATATACTACCCAAGGCCAAACCTCCCCTGACCAGCTACTTTCTTAATTCTGGGCCTTTACCAAGACTAGACGATGACCCCCAAAGCCTTTGTGAAGGTTCGATTACTGAAGCAGAATGCTTATCTGTCATTAAAGCTTTTCAACGTAACAAGACCCCCGGAACAGACGGTCTTACAGCGGAATTTTATCTCTGTTTTTGGAAGGAGATTTCTTGCCCTTTGATTGACTGTCTTAATCACGGGGCTCTTCAAGGAGAACTGTCCATCTCTCAGAGACAAGGAATTATTTCGCTAATCCCAAAAACGGATAAGGACCTATTGTCTCTTAAAAATTGGTGTCCCATTTCGCTCTTAAATACAGATTACAAAATTGCTACTAAATGCATTGCTAAACGGCTGGAGAAAGTTCTTCCGCTCCCTATAGGGAGTAATCAAACAGGATACATTAAGGGCAGATTCATTGGCGAAAACATCCGTCTTATTTCTGATATTATCGCATAACATGAAAATGACCAAGGAATGATTTTCTTTCTGGATTTTGAAAAAGCGTTTGACTCGTTAGAATGGGACAACCTCTTCCGGGTGTTAGAGGAAATGAATTTTGGCCCAAGTTTTCGTAACTGGGTTCACACATTTTATCATAATATCTCTAGCTGCATTGTAAACAATGGACACGCTTCGGAATTCATCCCGCTAAAAAAGAGAGTGAGACAAGAGTGACCGCTTTCCGGGATGCTTTTTATTCTTGCCGTAGAGCCTCTTGCTATTCAGATCAGAATAAGCAAATCGATCAAAGGTCTTAAGAACGGAAACAAAGAATCTAAAGTCAGCTTATATGCCCACGATACCACTTCTTCGTCTGCAGTAGCCGTTTTCACTTTGCTTGATCAATTCAGTACGCTCTCCGGTCTGAGAATAAATAAGTCGAAAACTGAAGGGCTGTGGCTGGGATTGTGGAAAAACAGATTAGGTAAAGACAAGCCTTTTAGAATCTCTTGGCCGAAGCAATACGTCTCCTCCCTCGGCGTAGTTTTCGCTTATGAAACCCACGTTGGCGAGAAAATCAACTTTGATGAACGGCTTGTTAAAATGAAAAAGGTGTTAAATCTTTGGTCAGTTCGGCGCTTGTCAATCCTGGGGCGAATTGCTATTGTCAAAACATTAGCACTGTCTAAACTTGTTTATAATTGCTCTGTACTTGATACTCCGACCGATTTTGCTAAAGAAATTAATAAGGTCATTTTCCCTTTCATATGGAACTTTAAGCCTGA